TGGGGGGGGGCGGGGAAAGGAGTACCTATGTAATACTTTTAGCAATAATGATTCCTTTTTAAATGCCCAACTGGAAGGGGAAATTATAAATAAATTATGGACCAACTAAAATATGGAATATTATGCAAGCATTACATTTTATATCTTCAGAGCCTTTTTAATGAGAAAGAGATGTGTTCAAGAGATTATACTTTATAAAATATTTTCTTACACATATTATTTAATTACTACTAAAGTTAAATATTACTAATTGCCACTATTAAGTAGTCCTAAATAATAGCATGTATGTAACAGAAAACTAAATAAAACAGAAAAATAAATTTTTTTTTTAAAAAAAGAGATTATACTTTTTATTAAGAACAAAAAAAACTATATGTGGTATGATTTCAATTTCTTCTGATGGAGAATATATATATATATATATTGCTAATATGCAAAGTGTCCCCTCAGGAGTTTGACCAGAGACCTGGAGTTCTATTGCTTGCTATGACATCTCCTGACCACCAGGGGGCAGCACAGAATGCAGGAAGGCCCCAGCAGGCAGCAGGCAGCTGGCAGCAGCCAGTGAAGGAAAGCCTGATTGGCCCTGAACACCGGCCAGGCCTAGGGACCCTACCTGTGCATGAATTTTATGCACCAGTCCGCTAGTTATATATGTGCATAGAAAAAATATATATGTGCTTTGTAAAAATACACATAGATTTTAAGAAATAAAAGAAAATTAAGCAATGGAATGATGAACATTGGTCTCAGGTTATAAGTCCCTGATTGAGAAGGGGTGCAGAGGATGGGATGGGGTGAAAGTAACCATATAGTTACATAGAGGTAATTGTCAAGGATATGGCTTTTATTTGGGGAAGTGGCTTCATGGATTCTTATCACCTAATCAAAAATAAAATGAATATAACATCATGAAAAAAAAGAAAATGTAGTACATATATTCAATGGAATTTTACTCAGCCATAAAAAGACACAATGAAATCTTACAATTTACAATACCATGCATGGACCTAAGGGGTATTATGCTAAGTGAAATAAGTCAGACAGAGAAATAAATCAAATACCATATGATTTCACCCAGCTGGGGTGGCTCAGTGGTTGAGCATCGACCTATGAACCAGGCGGTCACAATTCAATCTCAATCAGGGCATATGCCTGGGTTGCAGGCTCAATCCCCAGTGTGAAGTATGCAGGAGGCAATGATCAATGATTCTCTTATCATTTATGATTCTATCTCACTCACCCTCTCCTGTCCTCTCTCTCTAAAATTCAATAGAAGCATACTTTTTAAAAATAAAAATAAATAAATAAAAATACCATATGATTTTACTTACATGTGGAATCTAAAAAACAAAACAAATGAACAAACATAACAGAAACAAACTCAGATATGAGAACAAATTGAGGATTGCCAGATGAGAGGTGGGCTGAATGAAAAAGACGAAGGGATTAAGAAGTTCAAATTGGCAGTTACAAAACAGTCAGAGGGATGTAAAGTACAGCCTAGGAAATATAGTCAATGACATTATAATAACTATGTATGGTGCCAGGTGGGTACTGGAAATATTGGGGAATCACTTAATAAAGCATATGATTGTCTAACCACTATACTGTGCACCTGAAACTAATACAAAATAATATTGAATGTCAACTGAAATTGAAATAAAAATTTTAAATATACAGGCTATCAATAATGCTTGGTACCAAGTCAGTCATTTCAGGTCCAGGAAAACAACTACTTTCTGTGTTGGGACAGTTTTTTAAAATGATCCAGAAGCAAAAGTTAAGCCCTGCTGCTGTGGCCTCTGCATCATGCATGACTGGATGGGTTTCCTAGCTGCTCTCCCATCTTCTTAACTGCATTTTATCTGTGAAAATGCTGAAATGTTTGCCTAATGCTCTTCTCCTTGTTACCCGAAGTATGTGCAATATGCTAAAAGCATAGCTCCTACTTTTGCTCCTTCTAAAAACAGTACTAAAGTAGGGTTGGGGGCACATCTCCTTTGAAGTTAATTTACTCTTAATGGTGTCTTTACTACAGATTTTTAGAAATAGATCATTTATTAAGTGTACCCCAATCAAGTTGTAAAAAACATAATATTACCCACCACACCATACAAAAGTATGTAATCAGTCTACCTATGATATAATATACATGACGGTGAAAACAGTATGCTTTCACTACTTTTCTCATCATGTCACCAAATGTTTGGTACCAAAGGACATGAGGGCTTGAGAGTTCATAATGCAAATATTATTTCTAAGTCATGACTAGTTGAATGTGTGAAGGTGTGAGTAAATTTGGACATAAAAAACTAGCTTATGGTATGATTGCAGGGTGAGAGTATGGACAACTTTAACTGGGGAGTACGCAGACGATCTCTGGACAGCCTAGACAAGTGTGACATGCAGCTTCTGGAGGAGCACCAGCTTTCAGGAAGTTCTCCCAGCCTAAATAAAATGAACCATGAGGACTCTGATGAATCATCTGAGGAGGAGGACCTGACCACCAGCCAAATCCTAGAGCACTCAGACCTCGTAAGTAAAGCTCTCCCACTGTAGGAACTGGCAGACTTGTTTTTGGAACTAAAGCAGTAGCACAGTTTCCAGTTGCAGTTAAAGAAACTTACAGAGCTGCTAAACTAAAATGTGAACCATCATGTGGTGTCAAACTGAATCTCAATGGCCTCTTCTTTGTAAGTTGTACATGGAAGCAAATGCTGGGGTATTTGTTTTGCTATTAACAATCTCTGGATGCCATCAGATCTGTTAGGGCCTAGCTTTTCCCCAAAGAGCTTGCATTATGCTGAAACCTTTTAAAAATTCCTCAAATATCTGAAGTTTTAGGAACTATGACAGACAGACATTTTGACGTGGTTATCTGTAGATGTGGGTATTTGTGTGTTAAGAGTGCTGTGCCATCACACCAGGTCACCAGCTCCCATTTTTAAGTTCCAATAACAGTGAACTATGTACATGAAACAGGACCTATCAACCAACAACTAGCTCATACAATGGTCTGCACTCTTATGGAAAGAAGAATTAGAGCTTTTGTGGAAACATCACACTGTATTTTTCTTTCCTTTGCTTTGTCAACAGATCATGAATCTCTCCCCTTCTGAGGAGGTCAACCCTGTGGAATCGCTCACTTCAGCCTGTGACATGACCCCCGCTGACTCTCATTCCTTTAGCACTAGAATGGCTAGCTTTGACTCTTCTTTGCCTGATATGAATAGTCTTCAGATTTCTGAGGGTTCCAAGGTGAAGAGATTTTGGCAATTATGATTGTAATTTTCTTAAATGAAAAGTCCTTCCAATTTTCTGAGAATTCTTACAGGTTGCATGTAGAGGATCTACCTTCATCTTTTTCTTCCTTCCTTTTTTATGTAATTGAGTTTGTGCACCTAAGCCTATGTTTTAAGTTGTTTTACCCTCATAACTTGAGCAGCCACTTCTTACTGGTTGAAAGAGATTTGATAAGAGGTCTTCTAGAAATGAAACATTTTCCATTCAGCATGAACACAGCTGATTAATTACTGGCAGAACAAACTGGTATATGTCTGAGATCACTGTGACTGGGAAACTGCTGTTTTTTGTCATGACTTTTATAAAACAATATGCTGTTGAAGTGTGGGTGTGTGCATGTATTGGAGGAAATTTTTTCTTATGTAGGAACCAATTATACAATTTGTACATTGATTCAAGCCCCGCCTTTTGGCATACTGTCAGAATTTTCAGTGTTATGAACAAAACAGATTCACCCAAACAGCCCTAGCCAGGCTCTCTGAGGAGAAATGTAAGTAATGAATACCATTTTCTTACTTAAATGGTCAGCTTAAAAGAAAAACCTAACAATGTATATTTAATTTAAAGCTTATTTATCAAAATTTCCAAAAAATATCCTCTTTGTAAAACTGTTAATTCCCACATTGTGTTCATATATAGGGTGTCCCCAAAAATGTACACACACTTTGAATAATTATAAAGGCATTTTTATTAAAATACATGTCATTTTCAAATTGACCTATCAGCTGTTAAAGTGTGTGTATATATATTTGTGGGACATTCTGTATGTGCTCTTCAGATTAGAATTTTGTTTTCTCATATTAGACATACCAAAATAACCTATTCCTGTTAAGATAAAGTTGTCTTTATCTTGATATTGGTCATAATAATATGTTTGAAAGAGAAAATAAAATAAGAAAAAATTTATAAAAGTATATTCTTTCTAATACTTCTAATGGAAAAAAGTCATAATGTGGGGAAATGTAATATTCTGTATTCTTGTATTGTTCACTAAAAATAGATCTGAGATCTAGGAAAATCTCACATACTTTAAACCAAGAACAACCAACCAAATTGTATAACCTGAAAATATTGAAGCTTAAAGAAAAATTATTTCTAAGATTGCCCCATTGCAAAGGGACTATGATCAAGGATTCTTAGAGTTAGTAGAGCCCTTTTTTAGCCAAAAAGGGGGCCAGAAAGGAAATTTATCTGACATTAAAACTCCAGAATCCTAAAATTAAGAAATTAAATTTCATGGAAAGGACATCACAAAATAAGTGTGAAGTTATTAGCACTTGATATTTCTCACTCTTGGAATAGGTATTTATCTATTTTTAATGCTAAGTTATATAAATTGCTCATGAAAAGCATTATCTAAATAATATTTTATGAAAACACAGGTATCATCTAATTCTATCAAGGTAAGATTGAGTTTAATTTCTGGAAAGCTATCTCTGTTTAACATAATCTGGTTTCTGCTAGGTTTTATATACCTATGATGTTACAAAGAGAAAACAAAAGATATTTTTATAAGAACTCAGGTTTCCCCTAATAGATTAAGTTTATGTACACTAATAACCCAGATCAGTCACCCATTGCCAGTCTCATTGGCACCACTCCAGTTTTAAAAAGCAGCAAGAAACAGATATGGATAAGCCTCCAAAATCCAGTATTTATGAGCAATTCTTTTAAAGACATGAGACATGCTAATTCCCTAACACATCTTTAAACACCCCTTTTAATTTCCCTATTAATCCTCAATTTAAAATACTAAATTGGTGGCAAAATGTCTATGATAATGCTCTAATTTATAGACATTTCTATTTTGCCCTGATTTTGTGTTTGTTTTAAGGAAATGATTCACTGAAGCATGTATGTGTAATTTCTCTTCTCTTCTAGTCTGTAACACAGTTGTCTTCCTTCCTCTCATAAAGAAAAATCAGTCCTATGGCTTTTTTTCCATTTTACTTGTTATGACTTCTTCCTGCCCCTCCCTGATCCCAGTTCTACCTGCCCTGCAATCCTTTAATTTTGCCGCTCATTCTACGTTTTATAGTAATGGGGAAACAGCCCTTCATACATCAGTGGATCTCAAAGGGTTTTCAGTGTGGAAGGTCTGTCAGTGTGGCAGCTCAGTGAGACTTAATTGCCTCATTAAATGTGGAGGTCAGAACAGAGGTACTGTGGTCTTTCCAATTTTAACCTCTGTATTCCATAATCATAGTCAAATATGGTAACCTCCCAAGAGCCTCTTTGAGAACCATTGTGAAGAAGAATGAAAAGTAAAAAAGAACAATACTTCAGATAGATCCTGAGTCTGCTTATAGAAATTGATGACATTATAACTAGAAAACAAATGCCCCCAACTTCTGTCACTGTCAGGATTTCAGCTCTTTTCCTTCAGTTGAACAGACTTTCCCATATATTTTTATATATTGGGGGGGTCTTTTCTCTCTTCATTTTCCAGGCTGAAGCTGTACAGGAGGAGGAGGAGACCACCATACATGAAGATGATCTTTCTACTTCCATCTGAACTCCCA